CTTCATTTCGCCTCATATTCTTGAAAATCACTCATTCAAGTGTATTTATAGTTTGGGCAACCTAGAATTGAACAGGTGATTTGGCTAAGGGTACACAACTGCTTTGTAGAACCTAGGTCATCTGACACCAAGCTTGGTACATTTTCTTTCAAACTGCAGCTAAAGATATATTTCCCATCCTCTGGCACTTCACACTTTGTTTGAAAAGAAAATAAATGTTCAATAATGATACAAATTGTGTGACACTAATGCTATATAAATGCTGCAGAGTGATGTACATAAGACTGGGAAATGTGAAATGAATCATTCACAGAAGAAACTGATGAAGTAATTTCAATGTCTACATAAAATTTCTCAGTGTTCCATGTAAGAACAGACTAGGGTAATTATCTTTTGTTGTTATTGTTGGGGAGGAAAGTAACTAATGAGTAAATGACAAATAACTAAACTCCAAATCCATGTTTTAAAATTAACTATGCTCCTTTCCCCTAACAACCCAAATACCTCCAAATATTTCTACAATCAAAACTGCTTGAGCTGGACTTTATTTATCCCCCTTCTTTAGCCTTCAATTTGTAGATCTTGAACTAATTTAGAACAGTTTAAAGAACACTAAAATTTAAGTGACAAAGACAAAGAGATGCATTGCCTTCTATACTCTTTCCCTGTAAGAAAAACACTGGAACGGTCCAGTGACCTGTCTGAGTCAGCATCCTCAATCTCATGTCCTGTCTTTCCTACACCCTCACCCGGTGTCAGGGTCCTCCGGCTGTCATAAGCTCCGAAGCTGCAAGTGTCACAGGTTTCAGTGGACCAGTGTAGTCGCAGTCACAACAGCAAGGACTTCCTGTGTAAGGCAGGTACTATTTAAACAGTTCAAGTGCTTCTGGTTTGCTGTGTCTGCTCTGATCTCAAAAATCTATCTGATTTTGACCTGCGACCTATCTCTAATGTCCAGCTTCTTGTACAATGCAGACTCCTGAGGCATCCTCCAGCTGCTGCCTCTCACCTTCAGATGCCCTCAGAGCCCTGCCTCCTGACTTAATCTTCCCTTCCAATCACTGCTGGTTGGTTTCCACCTTACCCTCTTGCTGCTGGGCTCTGTGCTGTATTTTTCAGCCCCTTTGTGGTTTTCCTCTTTCTGGCGTCTGGTTCTGTGTGAAGAATCATGCTGTCTGCACTAGTTTTGCCAGTTATGCGATCCAGATCGACAACAGGAGATGGGTTATTCTGTTAAAGGATTGTAAAGGCCACAGCTCTAATAGCTTCACCTTGACACACTTCTAGGAGTGTGTCTAAACTCTGATTTTAGATAATCCAGGAAATTTTAAATCAAATATATGAGTCAGTATTTATTATGTGTTAACAGCCTATACATTGATTGTAACTAGATATATAAAGTCAAGTAAACATCGCATATGAACAGTCAACTTAACCGTAAGGGTGAAAAATTCCCCTCTTTAAGAAGGATGAAAAGATGCAGTAATTCCAGCTTCCAAGGATGAAAGGTCTCCAAGGTTTTGTAGATTCTACATTTTAAAAAATATTTTAGATCAATAACATGAAGAAAGGAGTCAGTAGCACCTGTCACAGACATAGACATGGTTACTGAAGCAATATCAGCTTAGTGCATATTATATCATATGTTACTGCGGGAACATCAGCCACGTGAAGAAGAAAAGCACCCTCAGGACAACACTGCCTGGACCTGACCCCAGATCTTATTTTCTTGAATGACAGATACTTTTTAAAAATCATTTTTGGTAACCCAGAGGTATACTCCAAGCCAGTTCTAAATTATGTCATCTTCCCAGGAAGAAAGCAGCTGTCTTTATGTCTGAATAGCTGATAGGAAGGTAGGTGAAGGGCTCTTTGGGAATTTGATAGGGATAGATGTGGGAAATCTAGGAGAACATGCTTCTAGTATTTCTAAATTTTTTTTCTAGTTGGTTATACTCCCTGAGTAATAACTTGGAAAAAGCATTACTGATTTTGGAATATAAGAGTGGCACAAATGACAGATCTAAGTTTTTTTTTTTTTTTTTTTTTTAGACAGAGTCTTACTCTGTTGCCCAGTCTAGAGTGCAGTGGCACAATCTCTGCTCACTGCAAGCTCTGCCTCCTGGGTTCACACCATTCTCCTGCCTCAGCCTCCCAAGTAGCTGGGACTACAGGAGCCCCCTACCGCCCCTGGCTAATTTTTTGTATTTTCAGTAGAAATGGGGTTTCACTGTGTTAGCCAGGATGGTCTTGATCTCCTGACCTCATGATCCATCCACGTGACAGTGGATTTTGTTAGGGAATATCAGGAGATACTGAGATATAATGGATACGTCTTGGCAGAAAGTGAAAGTTGTTGAAGTCAGATTTAGAGCATGAAAATTCAGCTGACAAATCTATCATTCCAAAGAGTTTAGCACTATATTCAAACTTCATGAGATCATAACTATCTTCACAGTTTTCACTGCCAGATTTCTGAGGATTTTAGAACAGCATATGTCTGCTATTACTACATTCAAATAAATTTTTGTTTTACTGATACATGGATTTGGAAGTCAAATGAAATGGTGGCTTTACATTTAATGAAAGCTTTTGTGTTTAAAAGGTAAAACTGGCATAGCTGAGCACAGTGGCACATGCCTGTGATCCCGGCACTTTGAGGGGCCAAGATGAGAGGATTGCTTGAGCCCAGGAGTTTGAGACCAGCCTGGGCTAAGTGGAGAGATCTAGTTTCTACAAAAAATAAAATTATTTAATTAGCTGAGTGTGGTTCCAGCTACCTGAGAGACCGACGGGGGAGGATCGCTTGAGCCCAGGTGGAAGCTGTAGTTAGCGATAACAGTGCCACTGCACTCTAGCCTGGGTAACAGAATGAGACCTTGTCTCAAGAAAAAAAAAAAAATAGGGGATAAAAGATGAATTTCACAAGTCGGGAATAGTTTAGTACTGGTTTACAACACTGGGTTTGATTAGAGTCCTCTGAGTGCCAAAGAGGATGTAGACACCTCAGGTATCACTCATATTTCTATTCTTTATATCTTCATATGAAAAGATACACTTCTGTACACTTAGGACCATCTTCTTGAATCCAAACTGGTCCTCCAGTACAAGCTGTGTCTGTTGTCATTAACTGTGTAGACTAAACCATTCTCAAACTTACATTATTATGTTTTTTATACAAAGGGCAGTACATTCTTTTCACCAGAAACATCTACATGCACAGTTAGAGGGATTAAAGTCTACATGCCTCTCACTATAGAAAAAGGCAGCTAAGGCAGCCCAATCAACTTCTCCCTTGTGTTTTCAGAAATAAAGCAACAACATAATGGAAAAACTATAAGATGTATTCAAATCGATGACCAATTTTTGATTAGTAGCATTTCAACCATCACAAGGTTTAATGCAACTTCCCTTTGCTAAGGAAAAAGAATCTGTAAATATTCTTTGAAGAAATATACTTTCATCTTTAACAAGCTGTATTCATTCACACATTTATATCTTCATGCAGTCAGTACAAAATTATTAAATATACACAGTGCTGTAAATGTTTTGGTTTAGGGAATGATACAGGGAAAAGAAAAATCAAAAGCAAGCACTCCAAGGTTGTAAACCTATAGTCCCTTTAGATTTATTAAGTAGGCCATCAAAGAAAAAATAAGACTGTTAAAGTTTTATAATTTACAACTTCTCTTTGGAGAATGTAGTAGTTGTATGGGACAGTCGTTTTGGTTTGTTTTGTTGTTAATTTGAAGAAGTGTTAGGCAATCAGAAGTAGGTGTTCAAGATTTGATGATTGAAACAACAAATGGTGTTATGGACAGTCGTTTTGGTTTGTTTTGTTGTTAATTTGAAGAAGTGTTAGGCAATCAGAAGTAGGTGTTCAAGATTTGATGATTGAAACAACAAATGGTGTTATGGACAGTCGTTTTGGTTTGTTTTGTTGTTAATTTGAAGAAGTGTTAGGCAATCAGAAGTAGGTGTTCAAGATTTGATGATTGAAACAACAAATGGTGTTATGCAAGTATACATATGTAACAAACCTTCACGTTATGCACATGTACCCTACAACTTAAAGTATAATAATAATAAATAAATTTTAAAAAATAAAAAATAAAAAATAAAAAAAATAAAAAAATAAAAAAAATAAAAAAAATAAAAAAAAAATAATCATAAAAAAAAAACAAAAAAAAACAAATGGTGTTATGTGAAATATGTAAGTCCTCAGTAAATACTTGTGGATTGAGTGAAATGTTTAAACTGAAAAGTGAAAAATCTGTTAAAGATACACATTTAAGTCATATTAAATGTTTCGCAGCAATGTCAGAAAACATATTATCAAGGAGAAAGATGAAAGTGAGACAGACATGAAAATTTGCAAGCTACTTAGTTTACATCCATTTATGCTGGTTAAAGAAAATTTAGGGAGTGGTCGTTTTCTGATGTTTAAAATGTTTTTCTATTCAAAAGATGTTGCGTGTTAAAAACAATGATATTGGCTGGGCATGGTGGCTCGTGCCTGACAGCACTTTGACAGGCCAAGGTGGGCAGATCACCTGAGGTCAGGAGTTCAAGATCAGCCTGGCCAATATGTTGAAACCCCGGCTCTACAAAAAGTACAAAATTATCTAGGCGTGGTAGTGTGTGCCTGTAATCCCAGCTACCGGGGAGGCTGAGGTGGGAGAATCACTTGAAACTAGGAGGCAGGGGTTGCAGTGAGTAGAGAATGCACTATTGCACTCCAGTCTGGGCGACCAGAGCAAAACTCCATCTCAAAAATAAAATATAAAATAAAATAAAAAATTACATTAATACTCTTTTTATCAAAACAATACTGAATCCTTCATTGCTTACTGCCAATGTCATCTGGACACAAAACGACAACATGGTAATGATACAACATGAGGCAAGTTGGGATTTCATGTTATGATCTGCCACTTGAAGATATACTCATAAAAATATATCATATTCCCAAGTGTGGACATATCTATGTTCTATTTTAGGAAACAGAAAAAAATATTCCAAGTTTCTATGTGCTCATGGAAGACTGAGAGCAAAATCTTCTTCAGAGCTACCAGGGACAGATGTTACAAATAAGAAGAGGTATGGAAGGTAAAGTTCTATAGCAATGGTTCTCAGTATAGCAGATAGTGCCTTCTGGAGTCATCTAGGAAATGTGTAGGAACACTTAGGTCTCCCAATTAGAGTAAGGCTCTATAATGTTTATTGGGAAAGAGCAGGGCTGATAGACATCCTGAGATCTGCAGGACAGTCTGCATAATTAGGAGTTTCATTCTGTGATTCTCAGAATAGCGGCAAACATCAGAGTATTCTTTATATCTTCTAACGTGGTTGTGTTCAGTAGTTTAGGCAATAAGCATATATTTTATTTCCTTTGACTCTTTTTAATATTAAAAGTTAGGTACATTTGGTTATCTTTTGAAATGATGTATGTTGGTAAATGGAATGCAATGGATTTTTGCTTTTTCATAGTACAGAGGGTCTTACAAACAGTTGTTGTATTTGGGATCTGATAGGGTTGGGAAACCTCTGTTCCCAACCTCAAAATATGAGATATTTCATATAATATAAGCATGACTCAAAGTATGAGAAAGAGACACAGGCAACCAAAGCCTCTCCCACGGCTGTGAGAGAATGAGCCCAATAAACTACTGAGTTTTATATGGTTTCATACTTCACTGTGGCTATGTCATCTTCATGGGAACAGCTACACTCAGGAGATGTTTTAGAAACCAAATTTGGTCTTACGGGTAAGATACAACCGAATTATAAGATGGTTGCTAGCAACAGAGTTGTACAGAGAATAGTAACTATGTAGGCAAGAAAAGATAACAACAACAATGAAATAATTTTAAGAGAAAGAGTGAAAATTACTAGCCATGAGTAAGAGAGAAGATAACCTTCATCAATGGAAAAAGGCAAAAAAAAGGAACATAGAAAAGTACTAGGATGTGAGTGCCCTAAAATTAATACACATATCTTACTCATATTTCTATTCTTCAGTCTATGTTTAATAACATTGCAAGTATTTAATAAACTAAAATACTGAAATAAATGTAGAAAATAAAGAATTGGTAAAATATAGATACATCAAAAATTCTAAAGGAACCTACCACTCACTCATCCTTGATCATTTTGAAAATAAATGAACCGATTTGTTTCCATCTCCTCCCTAACTCGTTCTTTTTTATTTATTTATTTATTTATTTATTTATTTTTTTGAGATGGAGTCTCGCTCTATCGCCCAGGCTGGAGTGCAGTGGCCAGATCTCAGCTCACTGCAAGCTCTGCCTCCCGGGTTCACGCCATTCTCCTGCCTCAGCCTCCCGAGTAGCTGGGATTACTGGCACGCACCACCATGCCCAGCTAATTTTTGTATCTTTAGTACAGACAGGGTTTCACCACCTTGGCCAGAATGCTCTCGAACTCCTGACCTCAGGTGATCTGACTGCCTTGGCCTCCCAAAGTACTGGGACCCCACACCCAGCCCTCCTTAACTCATTCTTTTAGTTGTACTTGAGTGCAAATCTTGTTCACTGTGCTGCCACCTCCCTCGCCTTTCTCCTTTGGGTTAATCAGATTTTTCTGCCTCTTCTCAGTCAACAGGACTATATACTTGATCTCTAGACTTAGGCCTCTGTCATTGATAGACTCTCTTTTAGAGAAACAAGAGACATTATATACTAAGTCATTTAAGTCATCCCAGATTAAGACTGAATTAATTTAAGTCTCAGGGGGAATTTAAAACTGGATTCTCCTCTCCTGAGATTCCTCTACTTCCTGCAGAAAAGTTAATTTAGGTCATTTTGTGATACCCTGCATGATGGGCAACTGTGTCTGTGAATGAAACCAAACAAAAGCATGATGCAAATACGGAGCAAGTCAGTCCTCTGAGAGAGTTACCCAATTGAGCTCTCTTGGAGCCTCCTAGAACATCTGCCTATCAAGATTTAAGAATGCATATCTTAAAATAATATTTACAAAATCAGATTTGGAGTTTATTATTCACTTAACATCAAGACATTTGGGAAATGACTCTAGCATTATTAGAATTTTACTATGTATTTATTTCAATGAAGTCTTGATTAGCAAAAGAAAAATGGAGCAAAACCCAGTCAGATTTGGAATATCTGTAGAAAACCTCTTAGCATCATGTCAGTAAATAAATTTCGTGCTCATGACAACAGATCAGGGAGCTGTACACATTACTGGTTATTTGGTTAAATCTAAAACTGAATTCTTCTAAAACTAAAAAAAGGAAGTAATCCTGAGTTGAGCAATGTATAACATTCTTCTGTTTGTCTCTGTAATAAACTTCTTAGACAGTTGTATATATCATAGTGAAATTTAACATTATTTTTTAAAGATTTTTAAAACAATTATTATATTGAGGGTAAAACTTAATTTTTTCACTTTAAAAATTTTTGTGCGGTTTTAACACTGATTTTCAAAACCATATGTTATTTATCAACAAACAGAATATAGAGCTTAGATGTTTCACAGCAATGTGAGAAACACGCATCATATTGAACACTGAAAAAGACTTCTATCAAAACATCTGGTAAGCAGAAGTAGAACTGAACTTAACTGGTAATATGCATATTTATCTAACTTGTTTTTCCAACTTGGTTATATATCTTGGAAGAGATGTGGCGATTTTTTTTTCCAGGAGAAATTTAAAATACTAATGTACTTTATATACATTTTTTATGATTATAATGACATTTGTCTTACTGTCATTCAAAGCATTATGCAAATTTTAAAAACAGCAACTTTAAGTTAACATTTTTAAAAAAATTTATCTTAGTAGTGAATTTAAAAATATTCTTCACATTTGCCTCTACCAACTAGCTTATCTAATGAATCTCAATTTATCTGTATGGCTACTCATGCTTTCTTCCACTTTGATTATTTTGACATACTTTACTTTTATTAAGAGTAAAAAAGTACAGTTCCTATAACTTCTAGAGATACTGCTCCACTCAATGACAATGTCTGGAGAAATCTGAAATCAGAGACTGTCAGTGATTACAAAAAAGCCTATCTTAAATCAAGATGATTTAGAATCTACTGTAGCTCAGGAAATGCGACAGAACCACTATGCACTTAAAGACATTCCAAAGCAAACTAAAGTATTTCCAGGCTTTTCTTAAGGAGCAACTATCAATAAAAAAACTTTAAATGTTTGATTTTTTTCATTTTTCAAAGTGCAACAAAATGCACCACACAAGTTGAATAGTTAACTGTGTTTGTCTCTTCATTCTTCATACAACGATTTTATGACTGTCTCTTCATTCTTCATGCAACAATTTTACAATAGGCAGTGTTATCATTAACTGAATAATGTTACGATGAAACATCACAAAATGTTAATCATATCTGCCCATCACATAAGCAAAACTTTTAAAGATTGGCACTCATTAGTAGTGATAAGGATATGGAGAAATAAGTATTCTAACATATTGTTTGGAATGTAAATGTGCATAATTATTTTGAGGCTGTAATTATTTACAATATATACATATCATATGACCTGACAATATTGCTTCTAGAAATTTATCCCATAACAGAGAATGTAAAGATCTTAGCCAAGGATATTTATTGCATCATTGAATGTAATCCCAAGAAATTTGAATAAACTAAATGTTCATCAACATAAGAAGGATTAAACATACACTCATGCTATGGAATGCTCATAATTTCATACTTGAAAATAAGTTAAAGACACTATTTTAAGTTCAAAAATGCAAGCTTCAGACCACTATTTTAGGATGATAACAATTTTAAAAACAGTGTATTTTTCTATATTCAGGTAGATGTAGAAATATAGATAGGGTCTACGACCATAAAAAAGTCTGAAAAGAGATGCCCACATTAAGTAAATATATAATGAATGCCAACTGAAATTACAAACAGAAAAGTTTCTATTTAAAACACAACATTGGATTAGTGATTTGTTTTATAAAACTGGAATCAAAACAGCCTAGATACATTTTGGATAATCATATACTTGTTTAAAGGAAGTGTTAGTAAATTCTAAGTTATAGGGAATCTATAACTTGGACTGTATATATTCTACCCAAACGAAAAGTGAAGCAACTTCTTCCAAAGAACATATCTTGGCAGAGCTGGGGAACTGTCACAAGAAGGGTCACAGCTCATGATTTAACAAAGATGTGGCCAATGTCTATTTTTATCCCAAACCTGCTCTGCGTAGTAACTGCATACAGGTGGGATGCCTTCCCTCCTACGACCCTCTTATTTGGAGCACAATATCTGATTTAGTGCCTTACAGACAGGAAGCACATAATACTTTCTGAATGCATGACCAATAGTCCCAATATTTAGCAGCTGGTGGAAGAGTTAGGTGTAGGAAATTAAGCAACTAACAAAGATATATTCAAGGGATTGCTGTTGTTACCATGATGATGTGAACTCTAAATTAAAAAAAAGCAAATTAATAAGGTAGTTGTTGTTATTACCATTGCTAAGAAGTGTTGTGCTGGCAAAGTCAAGAGAAAATGCCTCAATTAGATAAGGCAAAATTTTAGCTACATACTTCTTAGGAACTTTAATTTTTATCCTCTGTTTTCCTTCTCTTTACTAACATTTTATTTGCTCTAGTCTTTAGACATTGCTAGACCACCAACAATGAGTCACAGTTACTTCACACTGTCTCCACAGTGGCTGAACTTGTCAGAAAAATGATAGCTGCATAATACAAAGCAGTCTTTGTTTGTTTGTTTGTTTGTTTTTTAAATAAAAGAGTCAAAACCAAGATGATGGTCATCAGGGTGAACAGAGGAAAGATTTACTAGGACACTGAAACTATCCCTACCTTAGAAGCATAGCCCAGTTGGGTTTTCACCTGGGAAATAGCAGCAAATAAAAGGAGGTATACAAGAACTGGGAATTATCCTCAAACAAAGGGCAAGATTGGAATTGTAAGAGGCACAGATGCAAAGCCAGGTGCTGTAAATAACAGCTGCAGTCAGCAATTACAACATTGTCTGAATTGAAAATATGGAAGGCACACCTGCACACATGAACAGCGCTCAGGAAGAGTAACATTGTTAACTAAAAGATAATCTGTATTTGTCCATAAGGGTTAGTAATACTCATACTGTAAACCTCTTACTGCCATTACTAACGATATACAAAATGTGATGAGGATCACTTTGTCACCTCTACCATCATATTTGCAAGCACCTGAATCTCTACATTTTGTTAAACAATGAAGAATATAGAGTGTCTAAACCAAGCCGAAATGATAACCTCTTTACCAGTTAATACAGAACGAACTCTTGAATACTGAACAGGAAATACAAGAACTGGAGCAAGATTCCAAAATTAGAAGCTCAGTTGAGATCTGTGTCATAAACAGTAGGTGACAAATCTAGAACTATGCAGATGTTTGGAGTAAAATTCATTTTCTCTGCCTGCAAACTAAAAACACAATAAACTAAACATGTGTTCCAGTATGTGGCATTTTTTATAACCCATTTTTACAAAATTTAAGATATTTTTATTTTAAAATGAATTAAAATTTATCCATGATTTTTGTAACTTCAATAGGAGTTACATAATTTTTTTGAGAAAACTGATAACACAAAAATTAATTTTCTAATCTAAAAGTTTTAAACACATAAAACAAACTCAAAGAATATAATATTCTATCTTTCACTCCCATCAGTCACACATAGTGGTCACCATTCATTCAAGAAAGATCCAATTAACTTTCTACTCTAATGCATTTATTAAATCAGATAGATAATCTTTGAAGTAATCCACATTTCATTAAAAACTGAATAGAATTCATAATTTCAGTCACTAAACTGATAGAGGATAAAGAATACTTTGTCTATTATATGGCAATAATCATAAACCAATGCTCTATAACACTCTGCAAATGTGCTTCAGTGAGGCCAAAAATACTTTTTCCTGCAACTGGATAAATATAGAAAAAAGAGAGGCAGAAATCACGTCACCATAATATTGCAATAAAACTAATGTAATCCTTTTCATATAGTGATTCAGTATAAAGGCCTGTTTTTAATTGCTAAGGATAGAAATACTTAAGACTTTTCTGTAGCATTTGCCTGCTTCATAATCAAAGTGAAGGTTGAACTGCCACTACATAAAGATAGTATCAACAAATTATATATAATATATATGTGTGTATATATGTGTGTGTATATGTGTGAATGTGTATGTGTATATATACAGTTTTATATGTCTATAGTTTTATAGTGGGTATATATGTAATACACATTTGTGTATTAATGTCTGTGTATATATAGCTATATATATAGTTTTATAAAAGTATGTATATGTAATATACATTTGTGTGTGTGTCTGGAAAGTTTACACCTTCAACATTGCTTGGAAATCGCCTTACCTCATATACAAATTCATAATTTATAAATTTGGCTTTCCCCAGAACTGCACAATTCAGCTAAATTTCTGCCACCTAACAAGAATACCCTCTCCTCAGGTTTCAATATGTTCTTTATTTTCTTCTGCATCTTTGCCACACAGACTTTAACATTCATATTTCTAACATTCTGTTGAAGGCAACCTAGGCTGTGTATCATGTGCCTCAAAATTTTTCCAAGCTTCTGCCCACTGTCTGATTCCAAAGTCATTTTCATGTTTTTAGATATCAATTACAGTAAGACCACACTTGCAGGTGCCAGAATTTGTATTCATTAGGCATAAGTGCTATAACAAGTTACAGCAAATTTATGGGTTAAAACAACACAAATTCATCATTTTATATATTTGAGAGATACATAAAGAGAAGTCGTAAATGAGTCTTATGGGACTAAAATCAAGGTGTTGGCAGGGCTTTGCTTTTCTACAGACTCAAGGGAGAAAAATCTGTTTTCTTGATTTTTCCACTTTCTAGAAGCTGCCTGCATTCCTTGGCTCATGGCCCCAATCTTCTTCAAAGCAGGTCATTCCCCCTTTTGCTTCTGTCATCACATCCCTTCTCTGCCATTGATTCTGCTACCTCACATATATCAGCACTCTTGTGATTACATTCATTCTACCTGGAAAATGCAGAGTAACTTTTCCATCTCAAGATCCTTAACTTAATCACAACTGGGAATTCTCTTTTTCCATGGAACTTAACATCTTTACAGCATCTGAGGATTAGATGTAGACATCTTTGTGGGAGGACATTATTCAGCCTATCGCAGAAGCCCCAACCAAGAATTATCATTATTACAAATAACTTATCTATTTGATACAATATGATTCTGTAGAAATGTTAACTGGCTCAGTTTTGATTGACAGCATTAAAATAAAGGTTGTGAGGGAGGATAATCTCATCAAGTATTTTGCCATCTTTGCTCTGACATAAATGTATATGAAGATCTTACATGGGTAGTAGTTATTTCTGTTTCATTAGTCACTCAATGCAACATTCCTAGAATTAAAGGCAATAAGTAATTTAGACTTTACCGTTGATATTATTTGAACAAAACTCTAAATTATAAAATTCTCCCTAATAAACAAATGACATCCTCAGCTCGATGCTATCAGTATACTCTATCAAATAAAAATATCTGGCTTGTTCTTTAATCACATTAGAGAAATTATTATGATAGACCTCTGGTACTTAGATACTCATATTACTCTTGATACGAAAATAGGGGTTGAACATATATGAGTTTTAACTGATGATTCTACATAGACAGTGTGAAATAAATGTAGTGCACTGAAAAAAGTACAGGGAATTGATTTCTGTTCCTATACTTTCAACTGTCTGTCCTGCCTCAGAAATCAAATCATCAATAAACATCAGTCTTCTCATCCATAGCAAGAGGGCATTGACTTAGGTCAGGGAATCCAAACTTTTTAGTATGAAATCATTTTGAAAAATAAATACTAAATGGAGTATAACTATTTTATTAATAAGTTTATAAGTTTAAACTTACTTATGACCAATGCCATTTGCATTTCCTACTATAAAGCCAATCAGTGAAAAGAAGTGTTCTAAATTTGAAACCAAGGGTTAAGAAAGATGGTTGCATAGGGTTAAAAATAACACATTTTGTTGCTTGAGGGGGCAAAAAAAGAGAATGATAGCTGTGATATTATAGAAACTATTTAATATTTGATTTGGTTGCATGTTATCAATATATGGAATCTAAATATATTACATACTATCATCTTAGTAACTGACATTGTAGTTTCAAGTTATATGTATAACAGAGTGAGAAGAAAAAAAAAACTTTTTTTTTTTTTTTTTTTACATCTGTTTAGGAATAAAGAAACTTTATGGCAAAATTTAAGGCAACATATTTGTTAGTATTCTGTATATGACACATTTGTATATTTAAGCATTGTTTTTAATTTTAAAAATAGTTTATTACAAAAGTAGGGCAAATGCTCTTGAAGTCCATAAAACGCCTGCAAAAGACACTAGGAAAATATTTGGAATATATAATGCTAAGTAACTCAAATTTGAAAAGTCAATAATTCTATTTTCTAATGACTATTGATTTTGATACTATATCAAATCCAACATTTTCAATTCTCATCCTATCCATGAAAGAACTCATAGATTTCAACTTACTTAGATTTCAAACAGCTTATTTTTTGCACAATATCACAAAACCAAATGAAATAGCAAACTCATCCACTTAGTCGTACATGAGAAAAATCTATCATTCTTCATTTTACTTTCCTTCCCACATTACATTTAATCTATCAACAAGTACTATGTATCTGTATCTAAAAGTATTAAATACGCCCATTTCTCTCTCACGCCACTGCCACTCCCTTAGTCCTAGCCACCATTGTAGTAGTAGGTGCTCTAAATACACTCTGACGAGCTTACGATCTCTTCTCCGTGGAGTATCCAGAGTGATCCTTAAAAGCACAAATCAAATCATGATTCCCTGTTTATATGCTCCAGTGGCTCTCCTTCACACTTAAAATATAAATTCTCTATCATGGTTTACCAGGCCTTCATGATCCTCTTTATTCCTTGAATATCCAAAGTTTGTTCCTATATCAAGTCCTTTGCATCTGCTGTTCCTTCTCCTTGGTAAGCTCTTCTGGCAACTTATATGACAGGCTAATTTTTTTTTTTTTCTCATTTAAGTCTCAGCTGAAGCATCAACTCAGTGAAGATTTATCTGAAATCCTTTCAAAATTAGTTTTACTCAGGAAACTCACTCAAAATCACATTATACTGCTCTTTTTTTCTTCACTGAATTATGTATCAAAACTTCAAAACTATCTTGATTACTTAATTTGTATTTGTGGGTGTGTGGGCGTGTGTGTGTGTGTGTGTGTGTGTATACATATATATGTAGTTGGTTTCCCCATCTGAAATATAGGCTCCTCGAAGTGATACGTCTTGTTTACCATTTTAATGCTGTCATCTAGAATCATGTCTGGTACACAGGGAGTGTTTAAAAATTTTTGTTGAATAAATGAATAAATTTGTTGGGGGAAATCCTCATACAGCCTGTTTGTTAAAACCTTTCTGCCTCTGCTTATGCCCAGTCCCAGTTGAAAGTTCAACTGACCTCGTAAGATGTAGATGAGATTTAATGACTTCCCAGAAATTTTCCACAAGTCATCATCGCTGTTCTTGAAAACTTCCTATCTCTTTAGTAGAATACTTACATATAGTATACATACTTATATTACATACACACATTTTTGAGTTTTTTTTTTTCTAGGCTAGTTTTTTTCAGATCTATTTATATGTCATGAGTTGGACCATGAGCTTCCTGAAGTCATGGGCTTCTATATCATTTCTTTCCTCTATTTACAGTAATCACACTACTCTTTATCCAGTAGGTAGAGGCAAGGTAAAAAATCAACTACTTTTTAAATCTATTTTTCTCACAAAAAAGGTGAAAATTAATATAAGATATAATGAAATTAAGAACTCAGGCAAAAGGTTTCTTTCTGTATTTTGTCCATTCTAAGAGGGTATGGGGGTGCAGAAGCAAAAGCAAAGGCAGAACTTCTTTCTATTCATAAACATTTTCTCTTTTTCTGTATTAGATTAAAAGAAAAATGACCACTCCACATTGTTTCTAAATTATGTCAATAAAATTAAAACATAGCAGAAAAAAACACTGATACATCTTCAGGGCACTGAAAAGAATAATTATGAATTATTGTAGTAAATAATATTCTGAATAACAATATTAATTAATTAAGCCAGTCCAAAGAGATGAATACATATCTTAAATATCAGGCACAGACAATTATAAGGAGGTTGATACCTTCATGAACTTTACAGTCCATCCAGACAGTTCTTCATTTCAGTAAGAAATTCCTGAATAATTAACAATTTGACCACTCATCAGCCTTTGAATCCATTGTGGCAATACAACATTTTTATTCTACTCCAGTTTTTCAAAGGCAAAGAGAGAATTTAGCCTTGCAAACAGGTTGAAAAAAATCTATTAGCTATTAGCTTTTCAGTACCTTTATATTTAAACAAAAATAATTTATAATGATAAGGATGTTGACAGAAAAGCAGGAAATATTAGTGCCTAACAAAAGTCAGTTCTAATTCATGAACATTGATTTAAATGTCATTAAAATTGTACTTGTTCCTGGCTTGGCTTTGCTTAGATATGCTTTCATTTCCCTCAGGCTGTAGTCTATTACTAATATACTTTTCTGTAATTTCCTCCCTTCTGAGTTCAGGAAAAGAAAAACTTTAAATCAGATTAATTTTTGACAACTTGTGCATAGATCCAACAGGCAGGAAGAATGATACACACTTGTTCCCTTGCAGGAGAAAAGAGTGTGATTGTCAGCAAGAGTGCTTAGGCACTCAGAGGAAAAACTACAAAATTCTGCTCATTGATTACAAGGTTTCAGAAGGGCTAGCAGCTTTTCCCAAGCTAATTCCATCCTAGGGACCAAGAAAAGCCACACACCTGCCCAAAGTTTCTGAATGGCTAGGCTAACCTACCACAGTTAATCCTAACTTCCATCCCTTTTAAAAAAAAGAGGTAAAAAAGTGTCTGAAAATTTATTGTTAATGCTTTCCTATTTCCTTCAACATGCAGTAGTCTAAAAATAAAGCATCTTAGTACAATTTAAGAAATTAAGACTAGGATTTCAGACCCTGAAGCCCATTTAAATACGTATTATTATTATTACTTTTTAACCCTTGCTTTTTTTTTTGAGACGGAGTCTCGCTCTGTCACCCAGACTGGAGTGCAGTGGCCGGATCTCAGCTCACTGCAAGCTCCGCCTCCCGGGTTCACGCCATTCTCCTGCCTCAGCCTCCCGAGTAGCTGGGACTACAGGCGCCGCCACCTCGCCCGGCTAGTTTTTTGTATTTTTTAGTAGAGACGGGGTTTCACCGGGTTAGCCAGGATGGTCTCGATCTCCTGACCTCGTGATCCACCCGCCTCGGCCTCCCAAAGTGCTGGGATTACAGGCTTGAGCCACCACGCCCGGCCTAACCCTTGCTTTTAAACCACCCTCCACTTTTGTAAATTCTGTGAGGGATGAAACACAGCAGTACAATTTAAGAGTGGAGATTGTGGAGTTTCTCAAGTTCACCAGTGGTGACTATGATGGGAATGAATTCAGTCAAACAATTTCTAAACACACGGAGTACAACCAAATGGAGCTTCCACAGTTTTACTGTAACTTCTTGACAGATAAACTGTTCTTTTTCTTCTCAGGTTTGTTATTTTTGAATGTCTGTCACTTATAAAAGCATGTCATCCATCTGCACAGAGAAAAGGGCACCAGTGAAAGATTTGACAGAAGCAGCATCAGACAAAATTAAGATTATGAAGAAAATGCTTTTGAAAAAACAAATTCTTCATCAAGTAATTAGTGAACAGACCACAAAAGAAAGAAGAATGGATAAATTAGACAAAACATGATCAGTGCTGGTATGTCTTATGTATTTGGATAAAATCTTCCATGTACTACTACTCTTTTGTAACAAGTGATTTTTTTCTTAATATTGGAATACATGTTTAAAATGCAAGCTAGCACTGAAGTCAAAGATTTTTAGAGGGAGTGAGGAAGGACTTATCATCATTGCTTACCATAAGTAATATTCTGAATAAATAATAATCTGACTTAGACAGTCCCAGGATATAAATATACAAAACGAAGAGGTAAACTCCAGACTATATGAATCTTTAGTAATTATACATCAACTTTAGGTTTATCAAATGAATGAATAAACTGATATTAAATGAAAAATGAATGCACACATGTATGCCTTAGCTTTTGGAATTTTTTCTTTCCATGCCTTCTAGGGGTACTGTCTGTGTTACTGGTTTCCAGCTATATCTGGTGCCAGTGAGGATAAGTTCTACCAAAGTACCTATGGCAAGGCAGCCAAAGTGTTTCTGGTATTCTAGACTGACGCCAAGGAGATTCACTATTTAAAAAATATCATGGTAATGATTAGGTTACAAGAACTGTAAGTGCTTTCTTGATATCATTTGTGAAATACCTGAGTCTTTACACTTCATATTGGAAACGAGCCACTATTTTTACTAAAATTCCTAATATCAGTTCAGACATTATATGCTGCAAATAACAGATTACCTACTAGCAGTGATTTCTATAATGATTTTTTTTTTTTTTTAAATACAGATATATAAAGTTAAGGAAGTCCAGCAATGGAGATCTCAGAACTTCATGGTTGTTAGGGCTCTGAGTTGGCTAATTTGTTTAGACAATTTGGCTCAACTTTCTGAACACCATATCCTGATAAACAATGCCCCTAGGTAAAAAGGATAAGTTGGGGGCTGTCCTTACCACCTCTCTGTTTATAAATCAGGAAGGAAAACATTTCTTTGAAGGCTTACATTCTAAGAAGATGTAGCCTTAGATCTCTCATGCCAAGACTGGATTACATCTACAACGCTAAACCCATCACTGGCAGTGGGTGAATGGGACTTGTTTAGACCAGCTGTTGACCTGACCAGCAGTGTCGGGGTAAACTTGTTAGAAATGCAAATGGACCTCTTCACAGGCCCAGTGATTTAGAAACTGTGGAGCTGAGGCCCAGCAATCTGCTTAACAAGCCCCCAAGTGATTCTGACTTAAGCTTAACTTTGAGAAGAGCTGATTTAGAACATTCTAGCTCATATCCTGGGTTTGACCCACCTTCTCTGAGCAGATAAGGAAAAATTCTCCTCAAGGTTCCGCGTATGTTCCCTCTGCCTCCAGTGTTCCTCCCCCACATGGGTGATGCCCTCATTCCCTTCAGGCAAACACTATGCTTTTTCATATCAGGGACTTGAGCATCCCTGATTTTGGTATCCTCAAGGTCCCAGAACAAGTTCTCTTTGGATACTAAGGAATGATTGTACTTACTTGTTTGTGTTTGGTCTACTTCCTTCAACTAGAATTTCAATTCCATAAGAGCAAAGGCTTTACTCTACTTACTCACTTTTCTATCCCCAGGGCCTACAACATTGTCTGGTATACTATGGACATAAAATAAATATCTGCTATAGAAATATTGATATCCAAATGAAATAAGAAATAAAAAAAAGGCTCATGAATAGACAAGCAATATTATTAAATTTTTAAAAAGCATCTTTCACCATAAACATTATGTTCAAATAAATTTACCTATATTAAAAGTTTTGCCATTCTATCAGATTTCATAGCTTTTATCTATGGAAATGTCAGGTTTTTAAGAAATAGATTTGACTAACATACAAACTTCTGCCAAAAGTAAATGCTAAGTAACAAGGTTTCTTCTAAAAAATCCAGAAATTCACAGGATGGAGAAATTAGGTACAACCAAAGTAGTTTCGAAATGTAAACTACTTACATAAACAGATTACAATTCTTGCAATTTCCCATACCGTTGGTTTTGTTTCTTAGTTTTAGTCTAAGTATTATTCAGCATCTTGATTTCTTATCAATGCCCGCTTGCTTTACTTTAAGAATAATTTTATGTAAATAAGTACATGTGTCCACAAATAACTATTTATATATTGAGAAAATTTTAAATGACATAATATGCTAAATATTATCACACAATATAAAATAAAAATTCAACCGAAATGCCTCTTTTGTTAGTTTAATATGGATAAAGCGTATTTCTAGTGAAATACTTTTGAAGATCCTTTAAGTAAATTTTAATATAATTTATATATTTGCATGATTCAGCACATTTAAATCCAGCCACAAAAATGTTACTTGTTAAGATCGTTTGCTTAAGAAAAAAATAATTGCAGTATAAATTCTTGATGGCATCATGCAAAAAATCTTTAGCTGCTAATTTACAAATAATTGTGTGTGTGCGTGAGTGTGTAATGAATTAGGGCACCATATAAATTACATATACAAAGATAGGCTGGGTACGGTGGCTCACGCTTGTAATCCCAGCACTTTGGGAGGCCAAAGCGGGTGGGTCACCTGAGGTCGGGAGTTCAAGACCAGTCTGACCAACATGGAGAAACCCCATCTCTACTAAAAATACAAAATTAGCCGGGCATCGTGGCGCATGCCTGTAATCCCAGCTACTTCAGAGGCTGAGGCAGGAGAATAGCTTGAACCCGGGAGGCGGAGGTTGCGCTGAGCTGAGAACATGCCATTGCACTCCAGCCTGGGCAACAAGAGTGAAACTCCATCTCAAGAAAAAAAAAAAAAAAGATAGAGCAAATCAACGTCAAACAATCTCAAACAGTATTTTTTCAGTAGAGAGAACTGAACCTAAAGACAATGAGCATGCAAGTTGCACAATGATCCTGTCTCATTGTACAAGTGACTCTCTAGTGTTGCTCCATGTTCTTAATGTATCACAAACACTTTTCCTGAGACTTCTCCTCCTTTTTGCGTTCAAATATACAGCTAACCAAATTCCCTTTCACATGTTAAAACAATCCTGGTTTTGAACAGACTATGTTATAAATGGAAAGCCTTTCTTGATTTTTAGTACAATTTAGATAAGCCCTTCTACTCCATTCTTGAAGCATATCTTCTCAGTGACTTCTTGCCTAAAAGAATAACAGGCAGAACCACTTGTCTCAACTGTAATGAACATAACTCCCAAAATATCTCTTCTCTTGCATCAAAATATGTAACCACATGACTATTTATTTTAAACATTATGATACTGATTATTTAATTAACATGCTTCTTTAATAGTCAAGCCAATGTCTTTATTCTCTTTATGTACTGGCTGCCACCAGAGATACAAATTTCAAGAAGGCAGGAAACAAACTATTACACAAAGCATTTTTAATTTTTAATTTAATTTTTTTATAGAAATGGGTCTTGCTATATTGCCCAGGCTGGTCTTGAACTCCTGGGCTCAAGCAATCCTCCTGCCTCCACCTCCCAAAGTGTTGAGATTACAGACACGAGTCATGGCATACAGCCTATACTGGGAATTTTTTAGAATGATTCTCACATGCTCAAAATTTTCAAAATGATGTTATTTCAGGATGTATGCTAATTGTTCTTAGATTTAAATTCTTTCACATTGTCCTTCAAGAATTTTCAAACTTTTAAACACTTCGTGGTCTCTTGTTCCACATCTGATACTTGTATTCTCTGCACAGGACCTCATTTAATTTGTTTAAATGGATCATCCAATACACTTCTCAATTTTTTCTGTTGGTGTCACTTGTTTATTTGCCCTCACAGGTTCAATAATTCCCAATTGTTTTAAAAGGTATGTTTCTGCATTCGTCCAATTCTATCACTGCTTACTTTGTCTAGAAAGTTATTCTTTCTTACATATATTCAATAATTTTTGCTCCATTGGTAGGTTTCCTCTGATAAATAAAATATGCTCAAGTCTCTACCATACTTAATAATTCTTTTCTAAATTAAAGAATCTCCTTTCTATCAGTAATGCATTTCTGGAAAGGAAAGTCTCCCCAACCACTTTATTTTCTCAGCTCCTATTCACGCTAAAGTCTTGCTTCTATCCGCTATCTTTTCGCCCAGTCACTCTAATTGAATGCTCCCTTTTCTAAACTCAACCATAGACACCACAATTTGCAAACCCAGTTGCCTCTTCTCACCCTATTTTATTTGAGCTTTCTATGCTGCTTAAAACTATTAACTACCGTTTATAAGCCTCTTCTTGGGAATATCTTCCTTTCCTCAGTGTTGTGACAAGGCACTCCACTGTTTATGCACCTTTCAATCCGGTCACTTCTATTCTAGCTTCTCTCCTACCTCATTTTCTTCCTCCTACTGTCTCAACACAGGTGTCCTCCAAGGAGCTCTCCTCGTCTTTCTATATGATCTTGTTTATATGTTTTTACTACTCCCAAAGCTCCTAGTCTGAGTTCTCTAGTTCCAGACATTGTCCAAACTTTCATTTCTGTTTTTCTAATTGCATTTATCTTAGCTGTTTTTTGGTACTCTACACTTGGCTTTTCCAAAATGGAATAAATGATTTTTTCTTTTAAATCTCAGCCCTTGTTTCTAGTCTTTTCTGTCTCTGTGACGGACATCACATCTTCCTAGTGTGGTTGGTTCAGGACAGAAGTTCAGCATCTTATTTAAGTCTTCAGCTTCCTTGTTCCAACAGATACACACTGAGACATGTTAACTTGTACTCCACCATCACCTCCTCCATAGCCTTATTTCTTATTTTTTAACGAAATCACTCATCTCCTCTCCATATTTTAGTACAACAGCTTTAAAATTCCAACTTTTTGTTGGAAAAACTCACAAACTTACAGAAAATTTGCAAATACACTACTTTTTATTTTCACTTTACTAAACATGAAGAGTAAGTTACTGCGCTGATGCCTCCATTATCCAGAATACTTTAGTATTTCTCATAAACAAAAACATTTTCCTACAGAGCACAAAATGATGTTCAAACTTAAGAAAAATTACTCTCTAAACTTCAGATCCTATTCAAATTTTGCAACTGTCTTAATGATGTCCTTTGTATCTAAATGATCTAATCAGAATCACGTGTTATATTTAGTTACTGTATCTCTTTGGTCCCACTCAGCCTTCACAGTTCAGCCTTCCCTTCACTTTTGAGGCTTTACATTTTTGAAAATTATAGCTCAGTTATGTTGTAGAATGTCCTAAATTTGGATTTGTCTGTTTTTTTAATGTTTAGATTAAGGATATGCATCTTTGCCCTGAATATCACAAAAGTGATGCTGTACTTTTCTTGCATCCTAGTGGGAAACCACAATTACTTTCCCAACATGGATACTGTTCACCTTCATCATTTGGTCAAAGCATCTGCTAGGCTCTTCCAATGTGACGTTAATCTGTTCCCTTTTATAAATATTAAGTTTTTGGGAGCTACTTTGAAACTATGTAAATACCTGGTTTCTCATCCATCTTTCTCTATATATTTATTTATATCAGTAAGAACTTGTGCTTTCCTGTTTTATTCAGTGTTATAATCAATCACAATCTTCATTTTGATTCTCAAGTAATAGGCCTCTGGTTCAGCCAATGAGGGGGCACCTTGAGGTTGGCAGTTGTGTCCTCTTGATATGCCCTCATTTTTTTTTTAGCGTTTTATGGGAAAAAAATCTAGTTTTATGTTGTACTTTTCTTGTTCCAGTCCTGGAATGAGCCGTTTATCCAAAGAGCCCCAGTTACTTTTATGGGATAATGGTATTCAGACACCAAAATCTGGATGTTAGGCATATTTACCACCAATATGTTGTTGCTCCCAGGCTCTCTCAGTGGACTATGTGTATGGAACACACACAAACACACATAGACACCTATACACACAGTTTCACCTGTGTTTTTTGTTGAACATTCTCCCTCCCACGCCTGCCCTGCCACACACATAATCTCTGCCATCTCTGCTTTCACCTCCTTCCCTGTGTGGCTGTGCTCCTCACTCCATGCAGACTCAGGCACCCTGCACATGACCAACCTCTGCCTGGAAGTTCACACACCTAGACCGATAAGGCTCTGATATGCTGCATGGGCCACCCTCTTGCGTGGTCACCCTCTTAACCTCCCGCAGAGTCTGCCTCCCCACCCCCAAGCTTTTCATCTTGTTTGGACTCTGACACCTCACACCATGCCATGTGTCCCTGACAGGTCCCCTTTTTACTACACTTGGGCTCTCATTTCCCAAGGTGGATTGCCTAGTGTGTTGATATTTCACTCGCCCTAGTTGGGCTCCAAAACCCCAGCAGTTCACCTCCACACGTGGACACTCTTCTCCCTGCTCAAACTCTTACTTCCCACACGGGGTCGTGCCACCCACCGTCCCCATGAAGACAAGCTTCTGCATCTGATTGATTTCTGAGATGCCACACGAGGCTGATACTTTGTGAGACTGCCTCCTCCATCCAGCTCAGGCTCTGACAAGGTCTGTGGGGCCACTGCTGCTTCTCCCCTCTCCCACTGGTGTGGGTCCTACCATGCTCTGACCCACCACAATGGTTATGAGATGAATTGTCAAGGAAAAAAGAGAAGAAAAGAGAAAAGGCTGAGAAAAAAGAGCTACATCAGGCTTTCAGCTTGTTTCTTTACCTCTACTATTTCACTGCATCAATCTAACATATATGCCATTGAGATTTTTTTAACCCAAAATGTTACATATAGCTGAGATTAAACTGCTTTCACTTCAAAAGCTTTCAGTCATTTACTGTTGCCTTTGCAATGCAATTTGAATTCAAGGTGCTGTCCAATATGAACATAAACTTTCCAGCTTTTATTTCCCTGCATTGATATGAATGAGACAGAAAACTTTTATTCTTTAGATGTAAAGCATGTTTTCTAGTCCTATAGCTTTTGTTCTACCTAATTACTGCTCATTGGATTATCTTCCCTTTCATTTCCATCTGTCAAAATAACGTCCATCTTGGAAAGTAAGATTTAATGTTACTTCCTCCATAAAATTCTTCTCTTAGCTTCTCCACCAAAAGCAATTATGAATAATAGTAATAATAGCAATGAGTTGTATTAAAAATGTCTCACATGTACTTTACTAGAAATTTCACGTCTATTATTCCTGCTCTTTTGTTAGTTCTGAAAATTAATAATTTTCAACTCCAATTTTATTTTATATACAATAACAAAACATCAGCACAGAGAGTTCAGATGACTTGTTCAAATCTTAACAGTCAATAAATAGCAGAGGGGGGATTTGAATCTAGATTCTAGTCTGAATCCAAGGCTAATGCTATTTGCAGTGGGACACAAGCATTGCTCACTACACTTTTCCAGGCACTTTGTCTTTTTCATTTTGAACATAGCACATTTGCCTCATACTTTACTTCTTTCGCATATTACTTAAAAGAATAAAAGCTCCTTGAGGACAGGTTCATTCATGTTTAATTTCATATCCCTACGATCAGAGAGCCTTGACCATGGAGAACCCTTAGCACAGAGAAGAATGAAC